ATATATATATATATATATATAAAGAGAGAGAATAACGTGTAAATTCTAACATATTTTGTAATTTATATTAATACTTTTCTATACAATTTTTGCTCTTAATTTCTAAAAGTAAAACATTTTCTGAAGTGTTTGAAATTTAAAATGTAACGACAACAGTTCTTTAATTGCGACTTCAAGAATTTATCAATTTTACTTTAAGACGTGCCTCATTGACCAAACTTATATACTTTACCTTCAAGACATCGAATGTTATAACTCGATTTAGTTCTGCTTCCGACTTACTGACTTATGTTATACAAGATGCTTTAGTTTTAACCTAGTTATTTTGATTTAAACTTGGATGCTTGAATTTTAACCTAGTTTTATGCACGATGTAGCAAAGTGATAGCTTTTTCGACAATAATGTACATCATTCCCTCACTTAAAAAAGTTGTTATTTTGCATGTTTTTTATTTCAAAATATTTTTATGTTTACTAAAAAACTATTTCGTTAATGACATTATTAGGAGAAAATTCATTTCATACTATTTCTTATTTTGTACTTAGTCATAATACAGTAGAGTAATGACACTCACTGTTTTGAAAAGCAGTGTTTAACTGCGTATTTTGTAAACTCATCCGATTATTATAATCATCCCTCAAGCTCTCATACAGACAAAACCAAATTATTTTTTAATTTTTTTTCTCGATAGTAGAATTGATCTAAGGGGCATAGATTGGTTGTGACGATTATGTGTGACTGAAGTCGAATTTTGGCCATAGATGCCTTCATAAATATATGGTGATAGCTATTTCAAAATATTGAAAATATTATAAAATGAGTTCATTTAATGTCATATTTTAATTTCTAAAAAATTGTTTTTTAGAATTTGTTTAAATAATTTAAGGATTTTATTCTAGAAAACATTTAGCATGCATAACAATGTATTTATTTATTAGTATGCATAACAATTTATTTATTAACAATAAATGCATAACAATTTATTTATTTCAGCTTAGCGCAATTTGTATATATTTGTATATTCTGTAGATTTTGATTTGCATAAAAATTGAGTATGTGACTTTAAAATATGTCTGAAAGAGTGAATTTAAAGACAATTATTCAAAGCAATTCTTTTAAGAGAGTTCTAAAATACTAATCTGCCAATTAAAGACGTAAGAACTACAAAAACCACTCTTAAAAAAGCGTTGAAGCTTTTTTTTAAAAAAAAAGAAAACATCTTTCGCAGTTTTTTTTGTCTATGTTTATATTTAAACAAATTATTAAATCTGGAAAGATATGCCGAAACTAGCGAATTAATTATTTGATCATTTTATATTGAGTTTTTGGTTTTTAAACTGAAGTGTTGTGTTAATATAGGTTTACACAATAACATCAGAGAAATCTCGTTAAAAAAAGAAAGATATATGCTGGCACATACACCAAAATTTTACACAAATTTCTCGAACTCATGATGCAATTTTAAACTTTAATGTTGACAATGCACAAACTCACCGTGTTTCGTCATGATGCACACGTTTCCTCCTTTAAAAAAAGGAAGTCCTTCAATTGATCTTAAATTTCCAAACACGTTCAAATTTAACATGGTGATAAAAAGTTTACGGTTTATTGATTGTTTGGCGAATACTTCAATAAAGCAAGTTTGTGGACGTTTTTATAATCTCTATCGAAAATGAAATTTCTGAAAATTGCTTCGTTGACACAGTTAAGGAATAAGAATAGTTCGGTAAATAGTGTTGTTGACAATATCAGGTAAATAATATTTTTATTAATAATCATTGTTCTTGCTTTGACGGTTGGAGCATTTTAACAGTCAAATGCTATTTATAATTAAATTTAAAACTATTTTATTTTTAAATAAGTTTTAAATTCTCATTTTTAGCTCTGAAAAAGTATGATCAAAACTACCAGAATATGGTAAAATTTCTGTCTATATGGAAACACCAAAAATATCGATAATTTTTACCGAAGAGATTTTGTATTGATTTTAGTAAAGCTAACAATAAACATTATGCTAAATCTGGAATGTTTCACAATGAGCTAAATTTGGTAATTTTATCATGATACAATACAGAATGACAGAATCATCATTTATTCGGTTAAATTTGCTTTTCAGTTAAGTATTTTTTACTACATTTTTTGTATAAAACTAAATTTCGAGCAGCGTTTTAATTTTTTTTTAACTTGAGTACATATAATAGCATGATTTTTACCTCTCATTATATCTAAATCTTAATTCTTTATATTTTGTAAGTTTGAGTTTAATAATTCATATATAGTTCTGTGGAAAAATGGCGCAAAAAGTAAGAGAATTCTTCAAAATAATCAGTGTACTTATCATTTCAGTTTTAGGTCAAAGAATCTCTATATAACTATATACTATGTAAAGTGAATAAATTATATGCTTCTTCTTATAGGTTCATACTGTCCTCGAACATTTGATGGTTGGGGTTGCTGGAACGATACAGCTGCTGGCAAAACAGCATACATTCCATGTCCTCACTTTATTCCAGGATTCCTTCCAGAAAGTAAGTATTTCATTGCATTCCATGTCCTCACTTTATTCCAGGATTCCTTCCAGAAATTAAGTATTTCATTAAGTGTGAAGTGTGTTAATAGGTATTTTCGTTAGTGTTTATGTGTATTACTTCCAGTTTAGTAATAAGCCTTTTACAACGTTAATTTTTTAGTTTTTCTTATGTTTAAAGCTTGTAGTTATGATTCTAAATAAAGTTATTTTCAACATTATATTCAGCAATTTTCGTTTGGAATGCGTATTAGAAAATTGTTTTGAAGAAATAGATATTATTTTGTGATTTAAAGACTATTTTGATTATTTACCATTTACACAGATTATCTACTTACCTGTTCGCCACTTGATCTATGTTGTGTTCAACTGAACAATATATGACGTCTGCTCACAGTGAGGAATGCTCCTTAGTGAGGAACTCCCTTAAAAAAGAGAAGGCCTCAACGTGAATCAATTTAGTAGTCTGACGTAACAAACACAAACTACAAAGTGCGAAAAAAAATTAATAAAAGAATGTTGCACCGTTCGGACTGCTAAACGGAGCAGTGGGAGGAGAAAATATAAAATCTGTAATAACATTCAGACTACGAAGTGATTTGATTTCTGGTTATGGTAGGGTCTGCGAAGGCCTTCTCTCTTCTGGGAAGCCTGTACGAGGATCTTCTCTCTTCTGGGAAGCCTTTACGAGGATCTTCTCTCTTTGGGGAAGCCCGCTCGAGGATCTTCTCTTTTCTGTGAAGCCCATACGAAGGTCATCTCGCTTCAGTGTTGGTATTGTCCGATTTTATATGTCTTCTGGAAAGTATCGAAGAAACTTCAGTCTGAGACAAAAATTTGAAACATGATAAAATATTTGGGGAAAAAAATTGAAAATTTTAATTTGTTAGCATTGGACATATTATTAAAAAATAATTAGTTCCAATAGTTAAAACGATATTTATATTAGTAATTTCTAAATATTCTTCAAGAAGAATATTTTGAATGGATAACGACACATAAGTACCCAATATGCAGAAATTTATAAACAGTTGATCAAGGTTTTTAGCCATATTTATATTTAAAATTATTTTAGGATCTGCTCACAAGGAGTGCAGTCTTGATGGTTCGTGGTATAGACATCCTGATACAAATCGTACATGGTCTAACTATACCACTTGTGTGGATAAGGAAGATTTAACTGTAAGTACAACAAATGCTATTTCATAATTCAACTTGCAACATTTAAAAGAATGCTCTTAGGCCAAATGAATTAATTACCACGATTTTCGTTTATGTATCTAAAATCTCAAAATTATTAATAACTTAAATATACTTAAAAATTTACTAAACAACATATTAAATAGCTAATAAACTGTTAAATAAAACTCTTTAATTGATTTTTAAGATTTTTAGCGTAGTGCAACAACTATCACTGACTAAAAAATTTTATAATTCATTTTTCAGAAATATGAAAATATTATATTAATAATATTATTATTATAAAGGTTATAATTATATTTGGTCAGTAGTCAATAACTTTTAATATGTAATAAATTTAAATAAATACTCAATAAAAAGTGAATTATGTATACAATACACGTACAAATTTGTTTTTAGTAAAGAAAAAAAGTAATGCAAATTATAAATATTTATAAATAGGGTGTTCCTATTTACCACTTATAATAAATATGTTTATCAAACAAGCAAATATATAAATACGTGTGTAACATATTATAACAATAAAATGCAACATTATAATACAAATAAAATTTCAAAATATTATACAAAATTCAACAATAACTAATATCAACATTATAAAATTTCAGTTCAACTTTTATGCTAAATATTCATTATTTTCACCAGTTAACAGTTAATACTTCATTTGTTTGTTGTGAATATTTAAGTGCAAAGCAAAGATTTTATTAATTTACCGATTTAACTAGAATAAAAAAATTAATTTGAAATATAAATTCTTAAGTACACATTTTCATTAAATTGAAACCAGTGTGTATTTCATACATTTCATTAGCAAATAAGAGGAATAGGAAGTAAAATGTGGTAGCCCACTTTAAAAAAAAATTGCAAATAATTCCATTTTGCAAATAATTTTAAGAAACTTTATTTTGTATAAATAGGATGAGTATCAATCGAGAAGAAGAATACATTATTAACTCATTTTAATTAGAAACCACGCGTCTCTGAAATATCTGCGACATGAATATCTACTTTTCTCCCCAAGTAAAAAAAAGGACAAAAACTTTACTTAAATTCTCATTTTAACGGTTTCATCAATGAAATGTAAAGAAAGGCAAACCATAAAGTTTTCAGTAAGGAAATATACAGGTTTCATAAGGGTAAGAAACTTGTAAAGAATATGATTAAATTTTGACATTTTTTTTAATCAACGTTGAACTCCAGACCAAATTTTCAGCAACTACTAACTCCGTAGCCTTGTAATTTTGAACCCTATCCAGAAAATAAGAGAACTCCTGAAGTATTGGGAGAAAACAGCGTTCGTAAAGGATGAAACTGACCCGCAATTGCGTTACATAAAGAAAATTGCGAAAACCTCCCATGGTTAGCCAGACGGAAAGGGAATTCTTACCCATGATCTGCCTACCAATGAGGATATTTGACGTCAGCACTGAGGTTGGTGAGCGGCTGGTGTAGAATTTGTACCCCTCATTGGGAGCGTTCGTTGGGTCGCCTCATTTGGAAGGGAGCGTTTTATCCCCAAAGCTCTGCTTTTGTGGTTTAAAAAATTTTATAGGAAGTAAGATTTTCTGAGTTTTTTTAAGCAAAAGACAGATGAAGATTTTAAAAAAAAAATTTTGATAAAGTGATATGAAGATTTTTGTTTGCAAGATCAAAATTGTCTTAACTTTTTTTAAAATAAATAACTATAAGTTCATAAAATCAAGAAAAATAATATTAAATTTTATTTACTGCGCATTAGCTTCAAGTATATACTAAACTCAGTGGCATGACAAGCCCATAGAGGGACAATCTACTGAGCCCATCTCAGTTTTCTTGACTTTGGGCTCTAGAGTGCAGAAGCAGATGTTCCGCTTAGGTGGTCAGCCCAACGCGGAACCCCCAGTGTTTAGTTCCCAAGCATGCTTGATACTCATTTATAAACCCATGAGGGGATGAAAGGCTGAGTCAATCTTTTCCGGCCTCCGAGGATAAAACCCAGGACCTGTGGCACCGGAGCGAAGTGCTACCACTCGGCAACCGAGGACTACACCGGGGACTACAAGTATATAGATCTCATAAAATAAGTTAAAAATATCGAGAAAACATTAAAAAAAATGTGTAAAAAATGTTAAAGGCAAAGAAAAAATATTTTTAAAAAATATAAAAAACGTTCAAAAACTTCAAAATAAGGGAAAAGGCAAAATAAGGAAAAGTATAATTTCGTACTCAACTCATACCATTATATCTGAAAAAAGTACTTTCTGATTTTGTATTGATATAGCAAAAGCAAAATTTATCAATATAAGATTGTGGGTAATTAAAAGCAATAAATGCAATAGCTATTGTACTGATATATTTTGCTTTGGCTACATTCATCAATTTTAGAAAGCACTTTTTCAATTAAAAGCAATAACTGCAATAACTATTGTATTGATATATTTTGCTTTGGCTACATTCATCAACATTAGAAAGCACTTTTTCTTATATAATCGTATAATTAGATTATATCTTTTTCTTAATTTGTTTTCCATTTCCTTTTTTTTATTTTATTTTTTTAATATTTTTGTTAAAAAAAATTTTTTTTAATATTTTTGTTAAAAAAAATTTTTTTTAATATTTTTTCTTCTCCTCTAACAAATCTTTGCATATTTTTCCTTGTTTGCTCTATATTTTTAATTTATATATTCATATCATAAATCCAAATAAAGAATTTCTAATTTAAAAATTTTGCTTCAAGGGTATTTGGATAGTTAGAATATCAAAAGTTATATACTGGCATGAAATTTAACTTCAGTATAATATTTTATTCTAAAATTTTTTAAGTTTTTTTTTAAATATAAAAAAAGAGCATTTCTATACAGTTGGGAAATTGGTACATTTGCTATTTTATTTCAAAAATTGCTAACAATTATTGCATTTTATTCAGAATATTAGAATGAAAAATATGTATTAGAATACTAAGAATTTCACATTATTTCAAATTAAATTTATTTTTGATAAAGAAAACGAGCTTCAACGAAAAGAAAAAAATGAGTATTTTGAAATGCAGTCACGCTTATTTCATATGAGAATATATTTGCATATAAAAATTGCTCCTCTGCATAATTTGATTAGTAGCTGATTGAAACGTCTTTTGTCAAGTATTTTTATCGAAGAAAATAATTTTTTTATCCTAAGAACTTTTACCCATTTTCTTTTAAAAATAAATTAACTGTTGGATTGAAAAAATCGCAAAATCTATTCCCCAAGAAAACTGCGTTATTTTTAGAATAAATTTCTACTTTTTTTTCCTTAACTGAGAGCTCTTTGTTAACAAACCGATGACTTGAATGTGTATTTTTTCACTTTAATGAAAGTATTATTCTTTCAAAGAAATTGTTTACGAATCTGTTTGTTTCAACAGGTAATTTTATTTTTGTACATTTTTCCGTAATGAGATCGTTTCTTGAGAGTTAATTATTATAAATGTTTACGTCTTTCTTAGCTGTTACTGTGCAGCATTAACCTAATACGCCTCAAGGATTACTTTTCTATTTTATTCGAAAAAAGGGGAATTTTCGGGGCAAATTTTTAATTTTCATGAATTTATTTCAAAAAAAAATTATTTTTTTGTTAAATACGAACATTTTCATCATAAATAAGCAAGCGATTTTATCTGAAAACTGTGATAGGCTTTTGCTCTGATGGAATTTTTCTGCCTTAAATAACACGGCACTTCTGCGTAATCATGATATAAGTCAATTTGTTAAAAGGTAAAATAAAAAAAATAGAATAAACGCGTAGAAATATGGAAAAATTTAAACGCAAATTTTTATTTTGATATTTCCAGTGTGCAAAACTAAAAAAAAAGGAATGCCTCAATAACGTTTGAACTAGGAATCTTTTTATCATAAATTAACATGTAATCTAATTCGTTACAAAGGAGAATTTCAAACATTCGAATGCAAAGCGCAGATGATATTTTAAGTTACGAAATTAGCCATAAGAATTTACTTTCTCTAAATGAACTTATTTTTCTACGAATTCAGATTCTTTGCCGCAATGTAAAAAATATGGCCCCTGTAGTTTGAGTTAACCTGATGAAAAATTTTACTTTTTGCTAATTTTACTACATCTAGAGAGCTCGTAAAATGATTTAGAAACTTTTTGAACGCGATTATAGAATTCTTTTATCTAAACACAATTTAATGCAAAATGATCTTCAGCTTAACCCTCTAATATATGTTTTTATAAGAATTATAATTTAAATCAGATAAAGGAATTAAAAAAAACATGAGAATTATTACTAAATAAAGAGTTTATTGAAACATATTTATGAGTTGTTGCAATAGAAATACACCAAAAACAATTTAAAACGTTATTTCAATCATCATTAGCCTATTCTTTATCATTATCATTCATCAAAGGTTATAGAATTTTGAGTCTGATTCTTTGCTGCAATTTAAAATATATGGCCCCTGTAGTTTGAGTCAACCTGATGAAAAATTTTAATTTTTGCGAATTTTACTACATCCAGAGAACTCGTAAAATGATTCAGAAACTTTTTGTACACGATTATAAAATTCTTTTATCTAAACAAAATTTAATGCAAAATGATCTTCGGCTTAACTCGCTAATATTTGTTTTTATAAGAATTATAGTTTAAATCAGATAAAGGAATTAAAAAACACATGAGAATTATTACTTAATAAATCGTTTATTGAAGCATATTTATGAGTTATTGCAATAGAAAATATGCCAAAAACAATTTGAAACGTTATTTCAATCATCAGTAGCCTATTGTTTATCATTATGATTTATAAAATGTTATAGAATTTCGAGTCATCCGAGAGTCTTCAATCATTATCTCAAGCTTGTGTTACTCGTACCATCATTACAAGCCTTTTCTAATTTCTCACCAATGCATCAACCACCCTAGCAATTGCTCCAATGTATCAATTTTATCCAGTTCATGAAATGTCCCAATCTCAGGAGCATCCTTGCTCTCCTTGTTTTCTACAACA